AACCGTGAAATTCAGGAATTCATTCGCCGTGACGATTCTTCTTTGTTGAATTCCGGTTGAAATCCAGCCGTTGATTTCAATATTTGTCTGTTTCGGCGTTTATCGAACTCCGGTCATATTGAGCCGTGATCTTTCGGTAAAACTAGTATTGATATCGATCCTTTCAGATAGTGCACTCTGTGGCACTATCGGTATCGACTCAATCAACGCGCAACCGTCCATGATGGCAGAGGCAATGGAAGAGGACCTATTGCGCAGCCCCGTAAGGGAGGAAGATATTATCGATGAAAACGTGAGTGACGTTTTCTTGAAGAGAATTTGATAAGCTATCAAACAAGCTTTTGACACAAGTGACAACGATAGGTATCACTTGTGATAGTGAGCTCTCCAAGTCGATGCGCACAGACGATCCCAGGAGGGAGAGTGTGGTCGCTTCGGTTAGGGAGCAAGTAGCGCTGGTAAAGGAGATCGCGAAGGCGACGCTCGTAGAAATTTGCGAGTTATGCAGGCCGCAAGTGGCCACGCGCGTCTTCAAGCTTTTGCGATCGGCGCAAATACATAGTGTAGGCCAGCTGCAAGAGCACCTGAATAAGGTTGCAGTGATGGGCGAAATTGTGGAAGAGGTGTGTGAGACCTTGCAATGTGAGGACAGCGAGATAAGTGCAAAAACGAAATGTCCGCAGCAATTATAGCGGAAAAACAGGGTTTGGATGAAATGCGACTGCTATTAAAGCAGAAAAATTTCCAGATCGAACGTCTACGTCATCAAGTCGAGTGTCTCGGGCAAGCGAAGTCCCACGGACAACAGTAGTGGCCATGGTCAGTCACTTCAAGGTAAGTCTGACTCAACAGTGCCACGTGACTCGGTGCAGATTTATGATCATAACGCATCATTACAGATGAATTCTTCAAGGACCTCGACAATATCGAGCCAGAAGTGCTCCGAGACTACGCAGAAAGGCGACTCAGAGAGAAATCAAGGAATGCCACAATCGTCGGCCACAGGTGAGACTAAAGAGTTTTCACTAGGTGATTACATTCGCGTTATGTCTTTGCCCGACGTACAGCCTTTCTTTGGTAGGCCAGGCGAGTGCTTCAGAAGATTCCTAAGCTCATTTGACATGAAATATCCTAAAGAGCAATGGAAAGATCATAACAGATTACAACTGTTTCAAAGTTTTCTGAGGAAACATGCGCTGACAACATTTGAAACGTTACCGAAAGAAATACGAACAGGCTCTTTTGATGGTGTAATTGAAGCAATGAAAGCTAGGATGAGCGTTGATGGTAATAGTCAGCGGGTTAAAGCTCTTGCGGGGCTGCGAACCCTTGCTATCAGACCCTGGTCAAACAGTGAGTAGTTTTGCGTTGCTTTAGAGGGCTTGGCCAACAGGGCTTACCCAGATATGCCTTCGGAGGCAACTTCGCTACAAAAAGCGGAGATTTTGTGCAGACAGTTGGCCAACTGGGATGGTAGCTATTGCCTTACAGAAGCACTGGAGACCAGTGATTGCGACCGTGCGGCAACGGGATGGTAGCTACCAAGCATACGAGAAAGTAAAGGAGGCAGCGTTGCGCTTAGAGAGGAGCCTGAAGACAGCTGAAGAATGCAGACTGGCGAGTAAGAAAAGGCCTCCGCAAACTTTCGGCCAGAAGCATAGAATCTGGGAGAAGCAAAGCGGACAGTATGGGGGAAAGGGTGCCGAAGGGAGTTCAGTACAAGCACGCCAATCCCCAGCAGAGAGTAAGGCAGAAACTACCTCACGTTTCCAGAAGAAGAAGAGAGGGCGACCCGCCAAGGTGTTACAACTGTGGCAGAATGGGTCACCTGGCAAAAGAGTGCCGGAGGCCGGCAACTCAGCAACGAAATAACTTGACTAGGCAGGAATCGCATCAATCGCCTAACGTCGCATACGCTTCCCTAGTGAATAAATGGATGTGCACAACGTGGAAGGACTCGGCATCAAATGGAAGCGAGCTATTTGGTGAGAAGCCATTAGTAGATATAACCATTTGTGGTATGAATGCAACAGCGCTCCTAGATACGGGTTCACAAACAACTATTATCCCCGTGAAATTATTGAAAAGAGCTGTGGATAGCAGCGTTGACCTGGACGAGTACATTGAGCGCATACCTGGGCCTAAGGTAACAGTACGAGACGCATCCGGGAACGTGATGAAATTCCTCCATACCGTCCGCGTAGCAGTTACTTGAATAGGCAGGAACGGGCTCGGTGAGCAGCTAGAGTTTATATCTGCCTATGTGGGAAGAGGCTCAGACGAAGTGATAATCTTAGGTACAAACGCTCTAGAGGCATTTAATCTCAAACTGGTAAGGGGAACCACGGCAAAAAGGGAGCCGCTAACTATTAGCAGTGAAGAACCCGACAAAGATGATCTGAATGCCGTTATTCCTACAGAGTTCGAATGTCTACCAAAGGAAACCAAGACAAAAAGAATCAAACGACGCCACGCAAAAGTAAACAAGATTTGTTTCAGAGCCACCGCAAGCGGCGACACACAGGCCCGTTAGGGCTTCTCTTTCGATGTCCGGGCAAGTACGCTAAAGATGGCTGTGGGTACGCGTGCACGATACAGGAGAAGACCTTCAAAGACGTGGTGCCGACAGCATCAGAAGCAATCGGGAATATTCGTTTTGACTCGATTTTTGCTCTTGCTAGACTAATCTCAATTTTTGATCACGAAAGAAGTGAACAAAACAAAAGATTTCTGATGTTACAACCGAAGCATTACCATCAGTGGCGTCCAAAAAGCTTATCTCTCCTATAAAACATTCTGCGATCACGTCTTCCGGAGTATGATGCTCTATGATGGGTCTTCCCTCTGCCTTCCGCTGGGGTCTGGCCTGCCGATGGAGCAGCTCAACGAGGCCACGAACGAAGGCGTGAGATACGCCAAATCGCACGACTGGTGTGAGGTGGCACAGAGTGAAACCGCGAAGATCCTCCTGGTGTTGCCCGATAGCTTCCGCAGGATTAGCAGCGACTTCAAGGAGCATCCGGACGTCGAGCGTCGTCTATACAGCAGCCTCAACGAGATCGGAGGATTCCTAGAGAGGTCTACGTCACGGCTTTGTTTATTGGTCGGTCCCACGACGCAGTCGCCTCTTTCTAAACGCGATTGGTGCAAATAGGCTTCTTCACTGGCGGCGGCAGCTCGGATGGGAATGAAGTAG